GTACATATATCTCAACGGAGCTCAGTAGCTCAAACATCATATCTCAAAACATCTTTATAGTATACAGTCATCCATCATATATTACAAAGAACGTAAAAATCGATAAAGTATGGTATTCCAAAATATTCTCAGTAAAGCATGATATTTCATAAAGCGTAAAAATCGAAATAGGAAGAACATAATCGCTTATAATAATCGCACTTAAGCACATAAAGGTTCCAATTAATAAAACTCTACCATAACAACTGAATTTCAGAAAACGGACGTCATAAACAGATTCATGACACCAAAAAATATAAGGGGGAAGCTCGGGTACCCTTACGTGTACTCACGCGTCGCCGCATGTTCCGAGATAGGTTGCCGGAAAGTTGGCCGGAAAAGTCGTCGGCGTCGCCGTGGAAGGCGGTACGTGTACTCCATGCGCCAGCACCGACAGCCCTTCACGCGTGTCCTAGGTTCTTGGGATCTAACTAGGTGGGGCTGGATCCAGGTCTAGGCCTGAGCTTGGGCCTATTAGGTTTAGGCTTGGGTTCAACGAGCCGAATGCCCTAGTTTGTACGGCCCAAATGCCTAGGTTCAATGGGTCTAAGCTTGGCCAATTGGCCCTGGTTCCATGGACTAAAGGCCTGGTCTGGGTTTAGTGGGTCGCCTAAATGGGTTTGGGCTTGAAAGCCCGACCAAAGGGCTTGGGTTTTCGAGTTTAGGTCGTTTCGACCCGGTATTGACGAAAAAGAAGGCTGGAGCTTTCCGAGCTCCGTTCAATACCAATTCTCAAACCTAGGGTGCGATCTAGCTATCAAAATGAAGCTTAGGAGAAGAAGAAGAGATTCATACCTATATCACGCCGTGTGATGGCCGTAGTTTGGCTTGAAAGCCACGGGGCTCGCCAGATGAGTTTGCTGGGTTTCTTGTGCTTCACAGAGGCGGAGGGCGATAGAGAAACTCGACACGGGGGGGGGGAGGCGTGGTGGTGTCGTTGTCGCCATTTTCTCGATTTTGGGGTGTGAGGGTGTAGATCGGGGAGAGGGAGAGAGAGTGTGCGAGAGAGAGAGAGAGAGAAAGTGAGCTGAAAGAGAGGAAGAGTGACTCGAGGGAGAAGAGAGAAGAGAGAGGGAGACAGGAGGTAGGGGTGGTGCCACGTGGCAAACAAGGATAGGGAAAATATCCTAAAAGGGGCTAAAATAGTCATTTCATAATTCCGTTAAAATGCACATATACATAATTTGGGACGAGGTTTCACACCTACTTCCTTGTTCTTAATCATATCCTTTCTCGTGTGCCCACACATCCAACGAAGCATTCTCATCTCTGCTACATTCATTTTTTGCACATGTTTATGCTTGACCTCCCAATATTCTGTGGCATAAAGCATTGTTGGCCTTATTGCCATCCTATTAAATTTTCCTTGAGCTTCAGTGACACACGACATACGCACAACACACCCAATACACTCTTCCACTTCATCCATCCCCCTTGCATTCTATGGTTGAGATGTGAGAGGTGTGGGAATCCGATGCTCGGTCCATTTCTTGGCCATTAACTGGTCTAAAATAAGGTTCAGGATCGAGGAAAGATGATGAAAAAGAGGAGATAGAAAAGCATTTGAGTGAAAGATCCAATCCTTCAATTTTAGTGCGGTGCAGGAAAGGGACTGAATATACATCACCAAATTTATCATGCTCTGAAGAATTATATATGCACATATGAACACAATATGATTTACATGTCAAGCCAAAACCTTGGGACCAGCCGAATCAAGATTGGTTGACCTCCATTTTCATCAACCTTCATTTTCTTCACAGGTTGGAAAGGCTCCTTTCCAGCATGATAACATTCAAACTTTTCGCAAACTCAAATTTTATGTTTTCTTCATGTTAGTTACTATAAGTTTTTTGCCAATTGGAGGGAGAGAGGGATTCAAACTTGAAATCTATTCTCATATTACGTAGGTTTCCTCTGAGAACGGTATAGTGTTTGTGTCCAAACTAGTAATGTTTCTAAACTGAGAGCCAGTACGTTCGCTTTTTAGTCCACTAGATGAGTAAGATGCGTAAAGCGAACACTTAATTTTGTGGTGATATTTTTATTGAGGAGTTAGAAATGGGGCTTGATTGGGTTAGAAGTAACGTTTAGGGTTCAAGATCGAAATCTGAATCTCATTCCTCGGGTTTAAGGTCTAGGGTCCAGAGTTTGGATCAATTAGGGCTCTAGGTTAAACGTTGAGCTAGAGGTTCCAAGTCTAGAGTTTGAAACCAATATAAAAAGAAAGTATGTCAAATTACCGATTTTATATAACTTTGTGTATATCTCTTTCATTACATAGCTGAGTCACGCGGTACTCTTGTCTTGTATGCTAGCAATAGATCTTTTAGTCGTATTTTGAATTTGTTAGTTTAACTCCTCAATGAAGAATGATCTGATAAAGGCCTTATGCTTTCAAGTTCATGATAAAGAGAGAATCCAGGAACTAAGAGCACCGGGACCAAGACCCAACTCAAAGCTGGGAGTGATTGGCACAATATTGTGGCGAAAATTACTTGGTGTGACAAATGGATTCTTACTGGCTAGAGAAAGAGAGAGACGACGCGGAAGTCAGAGAGGTGAATGTTTCATGAAGCTAGCTTGGACCACAGTGTACGTGGTATGATGCTTTAATCATGTATGGCAAGCGACTATAAATGGACCAGTCACCTTAAGTCTTACGTCATGTTAAGTGATTAAATGGTCTCTAAATTGTAAATGATTTATTTCAGAGATGATTTATAGATGATGGTAAAGAGAATTGCCGGTTTCAATTATAAATGTTTGTACAATCAAATGATGCCACGTTAGAGGGAGGACTTTCCTCCTTATTGGAACTGAGGGAAGTATTATATCCCAAATTTGAAATCTGCAGAATAGATTGACAATGCTACATATGTATCACTAATGACATTGTTGATCATATCTCTCACACAAAGAACCTAAACTTCTAGGTGAATCCACTAAACCTACCGGGATATATTATCGATTAGTAATATGATTAGGAAACTGCTATTTACACTTCAAGAGCGTTCATTGACTTACTCATGATTAAAAAGAGTGCAAAATGACATTTTTATATTGTAAATAACTTCTTCCTATAACGACATATATGATGGCATGGACACATTGCAAACGAACCCAAAGCATTATTGCATACCAGTTGGAAGTAGAATTGTTATCGCCTGCTTTCTTCACTTTTGCTTGTGTTTTGAAAGATCAAACTAGCTAGAATGAATGTTTAGGTCCACAAAGGTAAAGATCCCATGACTTATTGAACGCTTGCATCAACCATTGGGTACTTTCGTACTATGACCATGTGAACGCAGGGGTCATGTCACACTTGATTTTTCTTGCTAATCTCTGCATATGTATGTACCTGTGTTCCTCCATAACACATCCAAGGTCCCGTGAGCTTGTACCATCCACATAATGCCATGAGCTATATACTAATACAAAACATCAACAAAATGGGGAACTATTAAGTCACCGAGCTATAACAAAAAAATATAACTAATGCAACGTGAAATTTTGACAATGAAAAGCGAATGGTCACACGTATACGTCCTATTTTGCTAAAGTTTTGCATAGAAGATTCTCAAAGGAAAATCTAAACTTGATGAATAAGATCATTAAACCTAATAACAAGCGGCCCCAACCATTAATGTATGTTTGAAAATTTTCTATAACGTGGTTATGGTTATGATGAGGGATGAGATTGTTTCAGAGCACATACATTATTAATTACGTTATTTTTCAAAATTAATTGCCCACACAACTTGTGTGCAAAAGGGATGCAAATTATACTGGTGGATACAATGAAGTCTAACCTTGCGACTATTGTTTATCAAAGTTTTGCACACTCTTGAAACAAATACCAAATATTCTAAAAATAATACGAACACTCAAATATTCAAGAATAAAATTTACATAAACTTTTATTTTTGGTGCTTTGGTTTTCAATAAAATGGTGGAGAGAATTGGAAAAGCTTTCGCTACATCATTTGTATAGGATGCTTAGAAATATGAGTGAATGAAGTCAATGACGATTCTAATTAAAATTCGTCCTTTATTTATAAAGGTTTCGGTATCCCTTTATGAAATAGGTTGGCAACCATTCAACTCCAAATAAGTCTTAGATTACACCCCTTCGGTATCACTGAATCATCTCCCTTTCCATTTGAATTTGATTTTAACCATCTAAACCATGTTTTGAAGTAACTATACGTATGTATTCACATTATAATCTAAGGACATAATACATATAATTATCTCTTGAGAAAACAGTGGATAAAAATGAAATCGACTTTACCCTGGAAGCTGTATATATATACTGTAAATTCTGCACCCAATAAAGCATAGGGTAAAGTAGAGAGTGGCAGACAAAGCATTCACTTTAGATTAAAGATCACTGTAATTCAAAGTTCTCTTACTGCATGCAAGTTTACTCATCCTGCGTACCGTACTACGTGAATTTAATTAAAGCATGAGCTACTGCCCTTCTTCTTACGTACTCACTTGTAAATGAACTGTCCCCTCTCAATCAATGACACTTAACTTCAGCAATGCAACGACCCCTGCAGGCTCTTGTGCTCTTTCACTCATCTCCGCATGTTATTGTTAATAGATCATCTCAGAAAGCAAAACTCAATTATATACTTTCTGATCGATATACTCTTTTATCACCAGTTGACCATGTAGTAAGCTCATTTTGAACGGATGGTCATTTTTTGGATACATGACAAACATTGATTTGTCGGATGAGACCACTGAGCCTAGGAATAGGTTGCAAGAGAAATTCTCTTGTTCTGATCAACATTAACTGTTCTTATATTTTTTTCACACTGATACAAATTAAGCTCAGAAGCTTTCAAATCCTAACCTCGTTTTTTAAGTGCTCTTTTGTTATATATTCACTGGTTCATTCAAAATTCTGCCACCTTATACGATATCGACACGTGCAGAACACAAAAGAATGGAGCTTGTGTTTGTGGTCCTCTTCCACTTTTTCACCTATTAATTCCTTACACTTTATCCACCTTCATAACTCCACCCAGTTTCCCCCCTTCTTAATAACGCTCAACCATTCTCCATTTCCACCAAAACCTCATTGTAAATTCTGATACGTAGACTTCCTTAACAATGGAGGGCAAAAATTTTGAAGGAAGGCAAACATGGAAAGAGAAATCGAAGAAAGATGTTGAGGAAGTAGAGGATGACTACTCGGACGAAGAAGAGACTGGTGGCGGTGGTGGAGGGTTGATGCTGAGATTTGAAGAAAATGAGAGGCAGAAGAAAGCTGCTGCAGCTGGAAGAAGAGGATCTGGTGGTGGAGGTGGAGGTGGGGTTTCACAGCCATCTTGTCAAGCGGAAAGGTGCGGGGCTGATTTGGTTGATGCAAAGAGGTACCACCGCCGGCATAAGGTTTGTGAGTTTCATTCGAAGGCAGCTGTTGTGATTGTTTCCGGGACTCGACAGCGGTTTTGTCAGCAATGCAGCAGGTCTAATTGCATCCCATTTTCCTGTTCTTTTTCCCTTCTTTCACTTGCTTCCTTGCATTTTTCTGCTTCTGTATGATTTAGGACTTGTTAGCAGAATGGTGATCTCTGCTTAATTTTTATGGAATAAAATTTTGGTTTTATTATACCCTCAGAAAGCAAAAACTCCATCCATATAATTAGGGTTTTGACTAATTCTGGGGAATTAAACTCGAAAAAATATATTCCTTTAACATTAACACATATAATTAAGGATTTATATTCCGCTTCAGATCATGAGGACCGTTTGGAAACATGGGGTTTACAGCTATGTAACAAATTTTTGAAGCAGATTATTCCTTGATTTTTGTTTATTCCTGAATGCATCTTTCCATGGAGTCAAATAGATCATTGACTTAACCATATAAGCTGGAATATTAAATAACTTTTACTTGACTGGTATTGTTAAGAGTGTCGTCAACACGTTAATTAATTTAGTCAAATGCAGCAACGGTTCATGCCGAATCATGCTAGGTATATAACTGGTACAAGCTTTTCTTAATTTCTTAAATTTGGAGATGAGGTAAATTATTAAGCTGCAGAATATTAATGAATATCTGCTTAAATAGCATAACGTGTGAGCCAGTCACTGAACATTTTCATTCCTTTGCTTGTCCATTAGTTAATCAACCCACACTAGCTGAACTTGCTAGGGCCAAAGCTATTACCTCTGAACTTCAATTGCAGAATTTTTGGAGACCCTTAATTAATATACGTAAGTGATTTCTGGATACCTCTTTTCTCTTCTTGCATTCTGACCTATAGATTGAATAAATTAAGGGAGAATCAAGAGGTAGTGTGCCAAAGAAAAAAAGTCGGAGTGCTAAAATCACCTCTCTTAATATACTCCTCCATAAAGTAGTACTCTTACATACCACCATGTTTTTGAACTTTTCATTATTATGGGACTGCACTGCACAGGTTCCATGAGCTAATCGAATTTGATGAAGCAAAGAGAAGCTGTCGCAGGCGTCTGGCAGGACACAATGAGCGACGCCGCAAGAGCTCAGGCGAACCTTATGGAGAAAGCTCAAGCCGGAGAGTGGTTGGTCACCAATACAAAGAAAGTCAGACTAGATATCAGATCACGCCCCCAGGAAACTCTTCCTCCAAGCATTGTCAGATCAGATAAGGCCATGCATCTTGTGATCTGCTCTCTACATGCTCTCTCTCTTCTGTCATCCGTGGCTTTGTTTCTAGGCCATTACATATGTGAGCTTCTAAAGCTATTCTGGTGTATGGTTATGTAGTTTCGACTTGTGTTAAAACTAATCCTTAACACTATTCTGGATGTTTCAATAAGACAATTGGGAATGTTTATGTAGGAAGCACCTATGATATTAATAATACAGAAACGCATATGCTCATAACTACCTATTATAAGCACAACAAAATCTTTACTGAAAGATCAAGTGTTTTTTAGAAAAGCACTTGAGAAGCACTTTATGGACAAACACCTCAAAAAAAAATTAATAGGACACATATAATTTGTTCGATGAATATCAAACAGGTATTAGACTATGTGTGATGGAATGTTTTTATAGGAAGCACTTATGCCCACAAAGTCACAATACATAATTAAGTGCATATCCTGGAACCGCTTTATTATAAGCACAACAAAACCTTCACTGAATGGCCAAGTGCTTTATGAAAAAGTACTTTTGAAAAAAAAACTTTCTCGAGAAGCGCCTCAAAAATTTTATTAGTGCATCTAGTTATTTTTGTCAAACGCCGCCAAAAACGATTTTTAGGCATGTAAACAGTGTCCAACATGTTGACAAATCAAAAGTTAGACCAATTAAGGCAATTATTCACTCTAGTTTTCTGTTGAACATGATTGAACAAAAAATAATGAATTAAAATGTGCAACATGGCTTTCACCATGAATGAAGGTTTTGACAATAAGATGCTGAAAACGACTACATATTATGGATAATACGACCAACTGCAATATGCTTTTACTAGGATTAATTAGGACGCCTTATCTCAGATATTTTCCATACCAATCGGAACCTAGCTTTCTGACGTTCATATATTTTCCCATCTTGTTAAAGGGTCATCTTCCTTAGCTGTCTTTTTGTCTGCAAATATAAGCTTTTAGCTTTTCTTTTGTTTGTGATAGCCATCCATATTATCTTTGTCACCATGTCAAGTATTTTCTTCATTATATTTTTGAAAACTTCGACGGAGTGATAAGTCTTCAATCTTCAAATTAAAAGTAGGAAAAGCTGCCATAATATGACATTTTCACAAGGGTAGTGTTTTTCACACCTATTTTTATCTCCCACACCCCTTTGATAATTTTGTCAATTGATCTTCTTTAATTCATTATATCCGACGACAGGAGATTGAGAAAATGTGTGTAAAAGGTAAAAATATGAATGTAGATAGCACTACCCTTTAACAAAGCAGAGCGTGTAACTATTGCACTCTTCTTTTCACCTTATGCACACCGCTCTTTAATTTTATCCATTGATTCACCTCTAGTAATTCAATCTAATAGTAGATCAAACATAATAGAATGCAAAAGAAAAACAAAAATTGCAAAATTCACTCCGTATACAAATCATCAATAAAAAGTATAATTTTGTCCAAAAGACTACTAAACATGTCATTTAACACTACTATCTATTGATAAGCACGTCCACTTGCAAATTAGAGATCTCTAATCCAATTTCCATGTATAACAAGTTCGATACTAATTTATTTTGACTGTCTATTATGTGACCTCCAACCTTTCTTGTAAATATCTCGCTGTAAAACAAAAAAAAAAGTTAAAAAAAAAAAAAGTAGAGACAATGAAAGGCACTAATTAAGGGACACTAAAAACATGTTATATTTCCTGTTCATTGCCCCACAAGTCGAAAAGTTGCATTTTGATTGAAGATTTGTAAAAGATTCTGTCTGCATACAGTCAAATTCGGAAAGTGTCGACCACGTTTGCCAAGACCCTTGTTCTAGCATTATATGAAATCCTCAACGACAACAATGTTCAAAGAGTATCAACATGGAAAGGGTACAAGAAACTTGAAGCACACTTGAATGCCGTAGGTGTTTATCAATACAACATATCTAATACATCTTTCAAGAGTTAAGAGAGAAAGGTAAATTACATGACAGAGAGAAATACGCATTCACCGAAATCTTACGACTATACAGGAAATATCATCGGAGCTCCTCCTCTTGACGGCCTCTTCAGTAAGGTGCTTTGCTGCTGCCCGCGCATCCTTTATTTGTATGATAGAATCCACAACTTCTTGGTTCGTCATCACCTGACATCAAATTGTATAAACAAATTTCAAGTCCAATTCTTTGCCATTTAATTACAATGGCAGTAAGTAGCTGTAGTTGCATAATTTCAAATAAACAACCTTCCATAGTCCGTCGCTTGCCAAGACAACGAACTCGGTGGTATCATCTATTAAATCCACCATCACATAAGGTTCAGAACTGAGATGTTTCTTCAAGCTCTTGTCACCAAATGCTCTTGCTACCGCCAACTGCCCATCAACCCGTGGGACGTCCCCTGAATTCATCAGAATCATAAATTTAACACTACTATAAAAAAAGATTGATGTGATGAGAGTGACGAGAACTGGAGAAGTATAAATTGATAAGGCTTTATGATCAATCTCAACAATGGAAACTATGCTTCAAGCACCTAAGGTCACAGCTCATAAATCACAAAGCAACAAATCCCGTCAAACTCAAACAATTTAAATGGTATTCAAAAACAGAATATATTTTTCGTGTGGTTTCTAAACACATTAGTTTGTATTATCAGAAATCTTCTCACCTGGAAAGTTTGACACGAAACCACCTCTGTTCTCGATATCTTCTCTTTCTGTGCTAGGCTCGTGATCAACAGATAATTGTTTAGCTACACCATTCTTGCAGACAATAGCTCGAGAATCCCCAACATTGGCTACCACCAGCTTCTGGCAGTCAATTAAAATGGCCGTCACCGCTGTTGAACCCCCCTTGCCCAAATCAACTGCCTTCTCCAGAATGTTAGCATCTGTTACACGATAGGCTCTTTCGACTGCCTTCTTGGGTTCTGTCCAGAAATCAGGCTGAGGAGAGGAGAAAACAAGGACCAAAAGTATAAAGACGTTGAAATTTGATATGTAACATCGTTTAAGTGCATGAGCTTCTATCAAACAACAACAACAAAATCAAAGCACATAAAAAACCTAACATAATACCAAACAGCTACGTAATACATTACCTCTTTCAAGATATTCTTAAAGAGATTAGACTGCAAGTACTCAGGAATTTCATGGCTCAAATGGCCATCAAATATTGCAAATAGTCCAAGCTCGTGGTCATCGATGTTCTTAAATTGCGCAACAACATAGTCTTCCATAGGATGATGCGCTTTTCCCTTTACCAAATGGAATCCATGTGTTATATGATGCGACATCTTGCTCTTTCCCTTTCCAGAGTCAGGGTCTGATGAACCTAAAACTTTCTCCTGCAACAAAACAAGAAAACTCCCATTTAGGTTCTCCACCGGAAAGATTAAACAAACGATATCAGGGTATTCATTTCTAACATGCAACCAGCAACACTATGCTGAAAAGAAATCTCCTTAAATAATCATCTCACCCATAAAGCATCAAAAGATTATCTAAATTAGCTTAACTAGTCCAACAGGGAGAGAAAATTCTCCTATTTGTTCATCGATTTTTTATTTCACTAAAAGCTTCTGCTACATTTTAATCTTCCCACCCATAAACCCCAACTAGTAAAAGGAAAAAAGGAAGAAGGGTTAAACAAAAAAGAAAAAAAGAAAAGGGTTTTCCTCTTCCACCATCCATAAACCCTGAGGGGTATCAAGGAGGAACAGTAGAGTTACAGATCTAAAATTGCAATTCTGAATAAATAACACAAACAATTACAATTTAGAGACATGGGTTTTTGCTATTAACACACATAACACAAGGATCTGCAACAATTTCTCTATATGGTGTGGATGGAAATTAAATTTGCAGATCAGGAAGATATAAAGAACAAGCCAAAAAAGTCAACTGATGAACAGAGGAGTGAGGCAATTGAAAAACGGATTGAAACACATTAAAGCAGATACATGAAGGAGTAGAGATACTGTTAAATGTAGCAAAAAATACCTTCATCTTAAGGAGGATTTCTCTGCCGGTCATGGCTGTCCTGATGTGAAGTTTATCTGTTTAAAAAAATAAAATTTGAAAAATGAAAATTTGGAATTGGAACCACAGTGGCCAAGAAAAAGAGGAAGAGAGACAAAACCCAGAGTCACCGAGACGATGAGAGAGAGAGAGAGAGAGAGAGAGGGAAGTGAGAAGAATTGAGGATGAGGTGAGGATGAGGATGAAGGATGCGTTGACACGCCCTATGGTCTCTGTTTTCCAGCCTTTCTCTTCCAATTCTATGCCGCGTTCCTTGCATTAATCAAAGACGCGTTCGCGCCGCGACTTGTCTTTTTTGTAATTATAATTGTAATCCTTTTTTACTTTTAAAACAAGGGTATTTCTACTCCAAAGTCCAAACAAAACGGAAAGAATAGCGTTTGAACTCGAAACTCAATAAGTTAAAAAAAAAAAAAAAATTAACCATCGCCAGATCCATTAGTGATTCAATTTATTAAAATTTGCATGTTACTTAGTCTTATAGTTTAATAATATCTCTCTTCACTTGTAAGTGAGTGATTTTATATTCAAATCTCGTAGATGAAATTCAATACCAATTTGTTCTCTAACCAAATATATTTTTGTATTTGAAAAAAAAAAGAGATTTTTATCTTATTTAATGCTAAGTTACATTGCATGCAATTACTTAGTATAATGTGGCCAAAAAAAAATGTAATAAGGGTAGCATCAGGAGCGTTTAGGCGTTAACTAGTAACTTAATACAATTAACCCTTTGATCTAAGTTCACTTCGACAATATCCTTCATAATTTGAGTCGATCACTTTTTAAGTTATCATGAAAGATTGATGTAGCAAAAATTCATTTAAACGGAATGACATTTAGCCCTCTAATGCCGACCTTATAAATCTAAGAACATAATGTCGTCGATAAACAATGAAAAGTTCACAATATGATTAGAGGGCTAACAACTTCCGAGTTGAGTGAATTTTCACTAAATTTACGAATTATGACATAAAATGAAAATTTTAAATTACGACAACTATTGTAAAGCGGTCTAAACAAATCGTTAGTGGAGTTGTATCAAAATTTTATTGCATGTTATCAAATGTCTTAATAGAAAGAGTGTTAGATTTCTAATCAGATATTGCACCATCGAAACTCTCTTCTTTTAAATTATTGCAATGGTGTAAAATCTTTTCCCCTCTCTTTTACAAATAATAAAAAATAGAAATAAGAACGTAGGTGGGAGCAGGCGAAACAAGCAACAAGGACGCGTGAGTGGTCGCGTGCATGGATGACACGCGCACGTTAGGATTAAATGGTATTTCACATATTTTATATTGGGTTTTGAGTTTTATAATTGTTGGTCATCATTGGAAGGTTTTTTTATTTATTTTTTTTTTTTTAGTACTTTGATATTTTTACACTAAAGAGATGAAGAGTTCGGTTAAGCCATATAATAGGCAACCTAATTTAGTATCAAATTTGTCATCTACGAGATTCAAACCTAAAACCTTACATTTCCAAATGAAAAGGAATATCATCGGACTATAATACTGAGAGAGCATCATTGGATTTAATTATACACTATTGACTTCCTTTAATCACACATATGAAGGACAAGCACATGCCAAATATTATTTTAATCTCAGGGATGAAAATGAGGGCCAAGGCTTGAGGTCCGAATTCTAGTTTGGGCTCAACATCTAGGACTTGAGTTTAAGTCCCCCTTGGCCCATGTTTAAGGTCCGAATGGGCCCAATAGGATAGGGTTCTCATCCAAAATCAAATCCCGAACTTCAAGTTGGATTTATTTAGTCCAAACTCAGTTTTTTATCTTGTGAAAATTCTATGGTGTTGTTGAGTATTCTATATTTCGAAATTTTCAGCTTTGGTTAAAAATCTTATAGAATTTAAGTTTTGTGTTACATTGAAACTTGAATTATATAGATTTTGGTAAGTACAGTCACTCGCTCGTACATGAGTAAAACATTCTTCTTTTTTTTTTTCTTTTCGGTTTTCAGTTTTTTGAACCTACCCCTACATACATTAAGCATATGAATGGTTGGGAGTGAGTGTCAGCTATGAGCCTTTGAACCTTTGAACCTTTGGTCTTTGAATTCAATTCATATCCCCAACAGGCCCTAGCATTGCACATGGGCTACACTCTAGCCCAATGTATTGACACAGAACCTCCCCTAGGCACCCCTACATAAACATCCATCAAATAAAGTCCAAGCCATTGAATTTTGCTTGAAAACATCGCGTCCGAAGTCCATACTACGGCTCCAATTAGCTAGGCCATCAAGCATATGTATATATGCTTTAGCTTGCACTCCCTCATCTGTTTTGTGCTAAATTGTCTGCTAAGAGAACAATTTTTTTCACACAAACATATATATACTTGTATATAGAAGTGGCAAATCAACTCATTGGGTTGTTAAACAATATGCAAACTTTTCGTCCGCCTAAACAATCTTATTTAATATTGTATATAGAGGTGGCAAATCAACTTATTGGGTTGTTAAATAAATACCACTAGACTATAATCCAGCTCAACTAATTTTAGATGTGTAGTTTCTTTCATCCCTACTCTTTGAAAGAAGTTGAGGTTCCATCATAAAAGCAGTTGACAGTATGGAAAGTAACTCAATTACTTATAAGTACATGCAAGTTCCCTCGTTCCTCCGATGTGGGATTGATACTATTAACACGTCCCCTCACGTGTGGTGAAACTTTTAAGCTTAGCACATGAACGACACAAATTGGAACGTGGAGCACACGTGGCCGTTGAGCTTCACAAACCGAACAACTTGCTTTGATACCATAAAAGAAGTATATTAATTAGCAACCTCTTTTAAAATTCTTGATTTTGCTCTTACCTCTATCTATCATAACTATACTTGTATACATGTTTATGTTTGTGTGTAACTATGCTTGCATGGATAGACATACACACGAACAAGTATTATGTCACATTAAAACAAACCAAACCTTCAATTTATGATAATCTTAACTCATTTTTTCACGCTTTCTCGTTACTTCGGCTAACTCAAACTCAGCAAGGAAGACCATGGACCTACCACACAGCATAATTAGAGTATCATCCAAGGAAGTGTATAACTTAATCGACATTGTTTTGTGTTTGTGTGTTGTGTGAGTGTGGTGGGTGGAAAGAGGACTGACTAAATCTGGCTGACCTGCGGTCCCCAATAGCATGATCAGCTGAAATGGACCCATGGGGTCTCCACAAGAAACCCTAATAGGAGACCACAGAATTTTCTAAGAGCCACTTGTCTCCATGTTTTGTGAGTAATCAAAGTGTTTGATCAAATATTATAAAAACTTGCGCTCCCTTTGTGAGAGGAAGGGTACTTCGTTTCCACAACAGCAAGGAAGCTTCACGCCATTGTGTTGCTGATTCCATCATTGCTTGGTTTTGTAAAAGCTCAGACAACCCAATATGCTTGTTATTATGTCTCCTGATCACAACTCTCCCTTTCTGCTTTCAGATGTGGGAGGAGTATTTTTGGGGGGCTGCACCAAATTTTAACAAAAACAAAAACAAAAGCTAGTGGACAAAAGATTAAAAGGATCCACTGGATTATGAATAAACAAACAAGGGTTTGAGAGTATTTATTACTGTACTTCAAAGATTTTATATGATCTTATGCCAAAATACAAGATCATCAAAGGATTTCAATCCACACACCTCTTGATTAAATATATAGACAAGTTACTTCTCAGCGTTCCATTTATCATTACATTTTAACTTAGTTTAAATCTTAATTTGTATGTAAATAATAATGTTACATGTATCACATTTGCTGATCACAAATTATAGATAGTGAAAACCATATGAATTCCACTTGCCAGTCAATGAATATAATATTAAAAATAATTTAGGTAAACCTATTTTCTCTTTATGCACTCTTCTCTTTATTTTTGTCTCTTGATTCTCTTTTGATTTATTCAATCCAACAGTTAAAAAGAAGATATAAGTGAAAAAATATTTATGTGTATTTGATACCTTATGTCAATGTAGTAATTTAGGTTACCATGCTCATATACAAGGACATGATAGCCATTTATGAATTGATTTATGCTTGGATTACAATTTATCATGGTTAGACTACCAATGTTTTGGTCACTTGGACTAAATGTGGGGCATTCTACAATGTGGGTTTTGTTTGACTAAAAAGTGTTAAGCCTCACAACATTTATGATTTCCTTTGGAGTATCCCACACTATGAGAGTGAGTGTTATGGCAACCCCACCCTAGTATTGAATTTAACATTTTGAGTTGGCCAGTAGGATTTCATGATTCACACCACCACAAGTCTATCCATCTCACCCAATAGAGGGTTAAGATCACTCCATGTGTCTCACCCATATCAAAAGAAATCCCAAATTCCCTCACTTGTTTCCCTACCCCTCCATTAAAAACCCTCTTATAAATATACATACCTATACCCCATGCAAATACACCAGCCTCCCCCTCAAAAAAACCAACCATCCATGGAAAATCGAAGAAAAAATAGCTCCTCCGGCGACACATTCTCCTTCCCTAGCACTCCAGTCCACGACCAAGACTCCGACTTCGAGTTTGGGTGCATCACCCCGGACTCAGCCTCCAGCACCGATCCCTGCAAAGACTCACCCGCAGACCATTTGTTCCTCAATGGGAGGCTCTTGCCACATGCCTTCCCATTTCAACCTATTAGCAACGGCTTTATGGTTGTTGATAATAGTTCTCGCAGAACAAGCCGGACAAGCAGCATTAGCAGCAAGGACTCTCTCATGTCGTCGAGAAGCAATAGCACCAACAGTAGGAGTAGCAGTTGTAGCAGCAGTGCTAGGACAAGCTCAAGTGATAACTCTGAGAGGAAGTTGGTGTATCACTCCAAATTATCATCCGATAGACAAAAGGGCAACAAACCTAATAACAATATTTCAAGTCATCAAGTTTATGGGAATTCTCAGAGGTGGCAATTCATAACGGCCGTGCCCATGCCAGCTTCTTTAAGCCGTGATAATTCGCGGAAGAAAGTGATAAAAGTGGATCAGCTTGAAAGGAAAGAGAAATCCGTTAAAGCGAAGAATAAAAGGCAGGTGAAGACGGTGGTGTCCCGGCGGAGATTCTTATTTGGCCGGAGGTTTTTCCGGTGGCTTGTTTCGACGTGCAAAAAGTGTCACGCAATGGAGCCATCCAAGAAAAGTACTAATGATAATGTAATTTCATCTGGAAATTAGCTAAAGTGAATTGTGAAGTTACATTAATTGATGATTTTTATATGTTAATTTACTGAGTTTTGTAATTTTTTTATGATCAATGTGAGGTCAGGATTTTGAAGTTTGTTTATAGATGTGTCAGGTTTTGAAAGAATAGAATTGGCTTTAGCTTTAGCTTTGGCTTTTGATTGCTTTGAACTTTGAAGAAAAGCAAAAGGTAATTATATATGCTGGGAACGTAAACTAGAAAAAGAAAACTTGGCGCTTGTTCATAATGATTCTTCACAATATGCGTTTAATAACATTGCAGAGCAAACGTTAATCTTAAGGTGAAGTTGTTATCCTAATCAGATATATCTAAAAAGCAATGGCTTCAACAACTCAAGTTTGAGCTCATTCATTCCATAGTTGTAAGAGGTCATAATCTTATTTCTTTTGACATTGTCGATAGTCGTTGTCATTGTCTGAAATGTAATGCAATTTGGGTAAACTCGTTAACTCTTGCTCTTGTTCTTGTGTTGTTTTTCTTTTATTTCCGACTTGAATTAGTATTTGTTCGATTATAAAGACACGACTAAAAATTTAAGTCAGCAAAGTCAATTATAGCCTAGTATTGAATGTATCCAAATCAAACGTCAAATCACGTAATCTACATTTAAAAACATATTTTCCCTAGCATTTTCTACTACATCTGACTTTTTTTGTTAGGATCGATGATCAATAAGCTTCAACTGGCTTTGCTAACTTGAATTTTAGTTGTTACGTTAGATCATTGGCTACAAATTTATCAGAAATTTCTAACACATGATTGTAGTTAGCTTATCAAATGAATTAAATTTGATTGAACATACAAGTTAAATCAAATAATTATTATAACTTTTTTTATAGGAGGAATTGAATTATGGACTATTCTAATCATAACTCGTTACTCTTCTCTCATCACTTGTTCGAAATCCTTTTAAAGCATAAATTATGGGATTTGTTGCCAAAATGGTCCATAAGATTAGTACAACTCCTTATTTTGGTCTCTAACACTGAAAATCGATAGAAGTGGTCCCTAAGTTTGTATACCGTAAATCTTTTGGTCATTCCATAAAATATCTAACATTATCCTCGTTAAATTATTATGTGAATGACTACATGACCACAAATTTAAGTGTGTTTTTTTGTCAAACAAACCCCTCCACTTAACAAGGATAGTAACAGATTTTTCACGTAATGACCAAAATAATTTACGATGGACAAACTCGGGGACCACTTCTATCAATTTTTATTGTAACAGACCATGGAGACTTATGCCAATTTCATGTTGGAAAAATTGAGGTCTAATTGCTATCTTAAATCACATGAAAAATCAAGAAATAATTCATGCACTTGTATATCAAAGTAATGCATGCACATGAGTAATCAATGTTAAATGAACATGATATAATGGATTAGAAAAACCTAAAAAATATGGTCGAGGCAAGTGTTGGACACTTTGTCCTTAAGACAAGTATACGCCTCACTAAGGTACTCAAGTGTTGGACACTTTGTCCTTAAGGCAAACATCATCATGTCTAATACATTTTTTTTTGCTTCAAATATCCCATGTTTTAATGTCTAGTCTTTTCATTTCCAAAGACAAATGTTTTGACTTAAAACGTCACTTTTATTGTCACAACATAATGTTAAATTGATTTCTTTATGAATAATCATGAGCCGGGGAAAACTCACTTCGCAATGACATATCATATATCACACTGACCTTTGGATAGTCATGTCTCACTAGTACAAAAACATGTTTGTGCAAATGGCCTTTGCGCGACGCAAGCCTTCGTCACGCAAAGTGTCGTCGCGCAAAGGCCATTTGCGCGATGTTTTGTGCTTCGCACAAAATTTTGGCGCTGAACTATCCCACTTTGTGTGATGTAATTGAACCTGCGTCGTGCAAAGCTGTTTTGCGCAACGTATGTGGCGTTGAGCAAAGTCGATGACTTTTTTTTTCTAAAATAACCACACACAAGGGCCTTTTTCTTCACATTCAACCTCTCTCTTTTAGACTTTCCATCTCTTTCAACCCTCACCATCATCACCTTCAGGTATTGTATTTATTTGATTAATTAATTAACTATTTATTGATTACATTTATGTTTGGATTTTTTTTTTTTTTTTTTTTTTTTGTGTATTTATTTTTTTCTTTAATTATCTTTGTCAATGCTTATTTTTAACAAGTTGAGTTTTGGTTTTGAACAATTGAATGAGTAGAATGAATGACTAGGAGTATGAAGGATTTTGATAGGTTTAGGGAAACAAAAGCTAAGAAACTGCAAGCTGCTCAGTTAACTTGATCTAATTTAGGGATAGATTGATGTGTAGAATGTTAGAGATTTAGAGAAGAAACCAGTTTACAGCTTTGTCAAACCACTATTCTATTACGTGGTTAGTAATCATTTTAGTATGTGCACCTACGTCGCGCAAAGTGTTTTTTTTTTGTTTTTTTTTTCCTTTTGCTTTTCTTTTGGGGTTTTTGCATTGCCTTTTTCTTTTATGGTATCTACTTGTGTAAATGTTTTAAATTGACGATCGAATTAGTTCCTTGTATTCATATATGATCCAAGAGTGTAGTTGTAAAAAATCATCACAATCGGAGTTAAAATAACCGTTAAATCGTGATTTTTTCGTTTATAACCGTCAAAAAGTTTTGTCCTGTTACTTGATCTTTGAAGGTTTGTTGTTTGCCATTTTTTGCGTATGCGATCTCGAAGCATATACAAACAAGTTTGATGGTTGGATCGTTGAAACTAGTTTCGTACAATGCGTATCCCATTAAAACGATAGATTCCCTAATCATTTTAGGTGTAGTCTCTACCCTTTACGATTTAGAATACGTGGTCTCATCATATAGGTCCTTAAACAATAATTTTAAGGCAGGAGTGGAAGGGGTAAATAAGAAGTTAAAATTGTGGAACTTCGAAAAAAACAAAAACAAAAAAAACACTTTGCGCGACCCAGGTACACATGCGTCGCGCAAAGTGTTTTTTTTTGTTTTTGTTTTTTTGTTTTTTTGTTTTTTCCTTTTGCTTTTCTTTTGGGGTTCTTGCATTGCCTTTTTCTTTTGTCGTATTTACTTGTGTAAATGTTTTAAATTGACGATCGAATTAGTTCCTTGTATTCATATAGGATCCAAGAGTGTAGCTGTAAAAAATCATCACAATCGGAGTTAAAATAACCGTTAAATCGTGATTTTTTCGTTTATAATCGTCGAAAAGTTTTGCCCCGTTACTTGATCTCTGAAGGTCTGTTGTTTGCCATTTTTTGCGTATGCGATCTCGAAGCATATACAAACAAGTTTGATGGTTGGATTGTTGAAACTAGTTTTGTACAATGCGTATCCCATTAAAAGGATAGATTCCCTAATCATTTTAGGTGTAGTCTCTACCCTTTACGATTTAGAATACGTGGTCTCATCATATAGGTCCTTAAACAATAATTTTAAGGCAGGAGTGGAAGGGGTAAACAAGAAGTTAAAACTGTGAAACTTAGAAAGAAAAAAAAACACTTTGCGCGACAAAGGTCCACATGCGTTGCGCAAAGTGTTTTTTTTTTGTTTTTGTTTTTCTTGTTTTTTTTCCTTTTGCTTTTCTTTTGGGGTTCTTGAATTGCCTTTTTCTTTGTGGTATCTACTTGTGTAAATGTTTTAAATTGACGATCGAATTAGTTCCTTGTATTCATATAGGATCCAAGAGTGTAGCTGTAAAAAATCATCACAATCGGAGTTAAAATAACCGTTGAAAAGTTTTGTCACATTAATTGATCTCTGAAGGTCTGTTTTTTGCCATTTTTGGCGTATGCAATCTCGAAGCATATACAAACAAGTTTGACAGTTGGATCGTTGAAACTAGTTTTGTACAATGCGTATCCCATTAAAACGATAGATTCCCTAACACTTATATTTTATTTATACTTTCATCAAGTATAACATAAGATTTTGTGGTATCCCCTTGTGTAAATGTTTTAAAGTGACGATCGGATCAGTTCCTTGTATTCCTATGGGATCCAAGAGTGTAGCTGTAAAAAATTGGAAAAATCGGAGTTAAAATAATCGTTAAATTATGATTTTTTCATTTATAACAGTTGAAACGTTTTGTCCCGTTACTTGATCTCTGAAGATTTGTTTTTTGCCATTTTTGGTGTATGCGATCTCAAAACATATACAAATAAGTTTGACGGTTGGATCGTTGAAACTAGTTTTGTACAATGCGTATCCTATTAAAACGATAGATTCCCTAACACTTGTATTTTATTTATACTTTCATCAAGTATAACATAAGATTTTGTGGTATCCACTTGTGTAAATGTTTTAAATTGATGATCAGATCGGTTCCTTGTATTCATATATGATCCAGGAGTGTAGTTGTAAAAAATCATCAAAATCGGAGTTAAAATAACCGTTAAATCGTGATTTTTCATTTATAACCGTTGAAAAGTTTTGTCCCTTTACTTGATATCTGAATGTTTTTTTTTGCGATTTTTTGTGTATGTGATCTTGAGGCATATACAAACAACTTTGACGGTTGGATCGTTGAAATTAGTTTCATACAATGCGTACCCCATCAAAATAATAAATTCACTAACACTTAGTTTATTTATACTTTCATTAAGTATAACGTAAGATTTTGGGGTATCCACTAGTATAAATGTTTTAAATTAACGATCAAATTAGTTCATTGTATTCATATAGGATCAATGAGTGTAGTGGTAAAAAATCATCAAAATCGGAGTTAAAACTACCATTAAATCTTGATTTTTCGTTTATAACCATCGAAAAGTTTTGTCCCGTTACTTTATCTCTGAATGTTTGTTTTTTACGATTTTTGGCATATGCAATCTCGAAGTATTTACAAACAAGTTTAACGGTTGGATCGTTGAAATTATTTTCGTACAATGCGTATCCCATCAAAACAATAGATTCACTAACACTTAGAGTTTATTTATACTTTCATTAAGTATAACATAAGATTTTTATGGTATCTAGTAGTGTAAATATTTTAAACTAATGATCGAATTAGTTCATTGTATTCATATAGGAACAAGGAGTGTAGTTGTAAAAAAACATCAAAATCGGAGTTAAAACTACCGTTAAATCGTGATTTTTTGTTTATAACCGTCAAAAAGTTTTGTCCTGTTACTTCATCTTTGAATATTTGTTTTTTGCGATTTTTGGCGTATGCGATTTCGAAGTATATACAAGCAAGTTTGACGGTTGGATCGTTGAAATTACTTTCGTGCAATGTGTATCCCATCAAGTTCAATGTTATATATATACATTAAGTAGACTTAAATTTATTTATTTTGTACGTATAACATTTAAGAAATTGAATGATATGTATATTTATTAAGTAGCTTTAAATTTATTGTTGTAGTTCGGATCGGATTTTTGTAGGTTTAATGTAAAAAATAAATAAATGTAAAAAGAATAAAGTCACATTTCAGTAAATTTTATAACATTTTTTTTAAATACCTTGCTCGACGTCATGATATGATCGTTGCGCAAAAACACTTTGCGCGACGTCCAAATGTATATCTTCGTCGCACGATTCCTGATAATTTTGGCGGTGCTATTGTTAAAAATGGGCGCCTTTTTAAAATTTTCCCAACTCTAGACAAAATTTTCCCACACCCGAACTCTCTCTCACTTGGTCTCTGTCTTCCCTCTCTCTCATCTCACCCTCTCTCTCCCTCTCTCTCCCACCCTCCTCATCCTTCATCCTCATCCTCTCCTCATTCTCTGTGGTAGCCTTCCTCCTCATCTTCTTTATTTTGAACTCATACCTCTCTTTCCTCTTCGCAAGCTCGAACCCCAAATCTTGAACCCGGACCTCTCTTTCCTCTTCCCATTCTCGAATCCAACCACCACCACTACTTTGTCGGTTGTCTCTCTCCCTCTTGTTCTAAACAACGGGCAGCCACCACCCCTTCGTCATGCTCGGAGGCTCTCCTTGAAAGTAAGTCTAATTACAAATTATGAAATTGTGAAATTAAGGAATTTGATTGTGAATTGAGATGAATTTTAGAATTTAGAGTTTTAATTTGGGATAAATTACTAGGGCATGGGATGTATTTCAGGGTTTAAAAATTTGTGAATGGGAATTAGGGTTTTAATTTTGAAATGGGGATTGAATCAGGGTTTTTATTCGTTTTAAAAATCTCATCCCTTCAACTTCTGGTGGATCATTGGGTTCTATTGGGTATCAGCAGGTGGTCAATCTTTAGCACGCGCCTCCCCTCAGCTTTACTGGTTTTTGCTATCTATCTCTTTCTATCATCTATTTATTTGAAAATCAAGGATAAACTCCTAACTATGGCAATGTGGCTTTGTATGCAGGTTATGTATTATTTTCCTGGGTTTTGATGTGTTTTTTGTCGTTTTCTGTGTTGCACTAGCATGTATGATTGGTATCGCAGTTTGTTGCTGTCTTCTGTGCATTTTTGCACTTTTATATGCTGTCACAGATCAGGTAGTTCTCATCCCCAGTAATCTCTATTTTTTTTTTGTGGGGGTGTGTTGGTTTTCATGTCCATAACTATCAGTGTCTTTTATCATTATCATTCTGTAGGTTCGGTGAATATTGATGTATTACTGGTTGAAAAATGAAACCGAAAACTGACAAGTTCTATATGTTTCTACAATAGCAAACTTTATTTACCAGTTATTTGACAATAACAAAAATTAGTCAAATCTTGTTAGTTTGAACGGAAATATCAATGTATCAAGATTTTCAGTAGGAGGATTTGGACTCTAAAATGGAACTCAGCTAAGATGGGCTTGATTCCGGTTTAGCATAACTTTATCTGGGGTGGGTTGGCAAGTGATGTTTTGTATAGAAGTTTGTTGATAGCCTTCATGAGCTCAACTAAACGGGCGAGTTCCCGTGTTGGTAAAATAAGTTACACTAAATTAAACCGTACCCTTCTCCCATTCACTGCTAAACTTTCATCTCCTCATAAATATCTGGTATATCCTCTCAAATTTGATAGTATTGATAGATAGTTGAATTACATGGTTCTATTTCTATTGATAAAAGAGGGTTGGAAAAATTGATGTATAGTAGTTTCCCTTGGAGCACTTCGGGATGAAAGATTTATTATTGTTATACTAATTCGTTTCATTTAATTTGTTCTGGCTCTCTTTTAGTTGCATCAAACTTAATGGGCTTGACAAAAAAATTTGATGGGACAATGCTTGATGTTTTGTTGTTGTAACTAAAACTTGGAAGTGTTGTTTACTCTTATCAATTTGCCTCCTCATTGTTTATAAATTTAATGGAGTGTAGTTGGAAGAATTATATAGAATATTGATGCCTTATTTACTCGTTCCCTTGTATATTTGTCTGACCTGTTATTGAAACAGGATGGAGCATCTAAGGAAGACATCGAACAACTTTCAAAATTTAGATTCAGAAAAGTTGCCAATGAGAAAGTTGCCGATGATGTACAAGGTGGTGGAACAGATTCACCCATCGAACATGTTCTTTCTCAGGAGGATGCGGTAAGTGGCTCTTGACTTTTAGCTCATACTCTTCTTTACTCTCTTGAGTTCCGGTAGTTAAGGAGGAACGTTTTCTAATTGACCGGTTATATAATCGGATTTGTTTTGTATTCAAATGCAATGTGTGGACTAAAGAAATCTTTAGAGCAGTCAAGAGATTCTTGTTACATTTGAATGATGATCATTGTGATTTACAGGAGTGTTGCATCTGCCTTTCTTGTTATGATGATGGAGTGGAACTAAGGCAACTTCCTTGTGCCCACCATTTTCACTGTTCCTGCATCAACAAGTGGCTTTTTATCAACACTACATGTCCTCTCTACAAGTACAATATCTTGAAGAGTAGCAGCCAAAACCAAGGGGAAGTGTAGAATTCTTTTAAATGAAGACAAATGCCGGGCACGCTGCGGAATTACATAAAATTCTTGCTCAGGAACTTGAGTGTAATGTTATGCAAAGCTTGGCATTGGACGATACCAAGTAGCCTGATGTATCGATCCTAGGAGACTAGTTGTTGTAGTTTTTTTCTTTTTTGTTTGCACATTTTGTATGTACATTTTCATATATTTTATAATTAAATACTTTTTCTTGATTTATTAATTATTGTTTAGAATTTAATTATAATATTTATAAAAAATTTAAATAAAAAATATTTTTGCCAAAAAAGAAAAGAAAAAACAAAGGTTTGCGCGACGCACCAAGAAGATTACTTGTAGTTTTTTTCTTTTTTATTCGGACATAGACAATACATTTCCATATATATTTTATAATTAAATATTTTTCTTTGGTTAATTAATTATTGTTTAGAATTTAATTACAATATTATTAAAAATTAAGAAAATAATATTTTTGACAAAAAACCAAAAATCCACTTTGCGCAACTCAGGCTATGTCGTGCAAAGTCGCGCGACGAAGGGTTACATGCGTCGCGCAAAGCCTTCTGTCACTGCCTTGCTACGACGGTTTGCGCGACGAAGGTGCGTTGGGCAAAATTTTGCGCGACGTTTTTTGACTTTGAGCTACGAAGGACCTGCGTCGTGCAAAGCGTTTTTTGTACTAGTGTCTGTTCATTTGTTTAAAACAAGAAAGGTTGTGTTCTTAAATCACAATAATTTGTAGAGCAACGAAAACCCGAAAGATCACATCCTCATCGCCACATTATCTTTATACCGGTTCATGAGGAAATGACAACATTCAGTGATTACCCACTGGGTTGGCAGCCAACCTTTCATTGCAATGCAACCGATGTACATAGCACAACCATTCAAACAGCCAAATGTAATAACAGCATATGTATAAATCTCAAAGCAATATCCGAGATCGAACAGCAGACATGAATACAAGGCCTTTACTGTAAATGCAGTCATACCAACGGTAGCTCATAACGTTTAACATAATATTCAGTGCCAAAGATAAGTATCTTATGCGAAATGCAAGGTAAATCTACCTAGTCTACAAAACGCATCCTTTCAGAAGATAGGTTTTCCCTACATACCAATCTTAAAACCGTTACACACTTGAGACTACTAGAACAAAAGTTGTGAAACAAAACCTTTATCCTTTTGCATGCATATTTCATAGAATTGAAATTAATAAACTCATTGTCAACAAATACATGAATTTAATTAGTGTAATGTCAAGAAATAAAATGCATATATGCAAGTATATATGTTAGTATAACTTTTCTGTGCCATCATTACTCGCACAACAGAATAAAATCACAATTGATTTCAAAGCAGTGCATGATCAATTTTGTCGAGAAAATTAAAAACCACAAGCCATATTATAATAGCATTAAACCAATAAATGTAACATCTCACATCGTCCAGGAGAGTGGATCATGTAAAGCTCATATGTATATTTCCATCTCTACCTAGCACGAAGCTTTTTGGAAGCTCACTGACTTCGGGTTCCATCGGAACTCCGAAGTTAAGCGAGTTCGTTCGAGAGCAATCCCATGATGGGTGACCCACTGGGAAGTTCTCGTCTGAATTCTCAGAAACAAAACCGTGAGGACGTGGTCGGGACCCAAAAAGGACAATATCATGCTACGTTAGAGTCGAGCTCGTGATATGATGGGGGCTCATGCCAGGATGTAACAATAAACTTGTAAAGAATATTTGGTTTAATTATAAGCAAACGAACAAAAGAATGATGAAAGGTTACGAGTTGGCATCTTTTGAATCAAATTAACTTGCAATACATTTGGAAACAATTAACATATGTACTTTTTTTATGCAAAACTAGAAACCAAACCATTCTACCACGAAAAGGAAAATCCACGCATAAACATTCATGACAGAATATTGATCTTAAACAAACATAGCAACCATACCATAAACTTGTCTTTTAAGTTTGTTGGAAAAATTGGGGTCTAATTGCTATATTAAATCACATGAAAAATCAATAAATAATTCATGCACTTATATATCAAAGTAATGCATGCACATGAGTAACCAATGTTAAATGAACATGATATAATGGATTAGAAAAACCTAGAAAATATGGTCCAGACAAGTGTTGGACACTTTATCCTTAAGACAAGTTTACACCACTACGGTGCTCATGGTTGATCTACACATGTCTTCCAAGATACAAAGACCGCGTCCGTGTAATAGTAGCACTCCAAATCACAAGACTCCATGAACCACGATTGTGTTGAAAAACTTTCTCATATGAACTTAACGAGACTCTAATATTTAATGCACTATATGTATGTATGATGAAAAGTTATTAAATGATTATAGGGGCTTTCCTATTTATAGAATGTGAGATACCTCTTTAGACAGCATGTGACTATTCATAAAGGGTCAAAAGTTACAACTCTTCATTTGAGTAGACACATTTTTCTACTAAAAGGCTCCACTTCTAATTTCCATTCAATTAATAAATTTAATATAAAGGTCAATTGTTGAAGAGGGCAGGGGCACCACCCAAAACTGTTTATGCGATTGAAAATGCTTTAATCCAAGCCCCACTCATATGATTCAAAAGTCGAATTGGGTTTGGACTTGACCAAATCAAGTTGAACATGGTCTACATAGTTTTGTGTAAGGAGTTTTTGTTCGGAACCAGCAGAAATGCTCAATTCACTCAGCAAAACATGGAAATATCCATTTTATCCCTTAAAAGTATTTTGAAAACTAGAAAACTGAAAATAAATGACCATCGGTCTACTTAGTGTCACCGTCTAATAGTATTTCTCTCAACTTATAAATAGAATGTCTTAAGTTCGAGTTATGTGAATGAAAAATTCAATACCAAATTATGGTTGGTTAATTATGCGCCTTAACCTAATCTCTCACCCTTTAGCGTAAATATATTAATGTATAAAAAAAAAAATTGAACAAACACCCGACATTGTTGAATCACAATAATCTGACCTCCATCTATGTCGTCATTATAGTCTTGCCATTAGCATCGATGAGGGAGTTTCCAAAATGAGTCGAGGTCAATGTCAACGATTGGGTACAAATAAAAACTTTGTTTTTTTGTATTTGTAGTTAAGTAGATGATTTATTATCATTTAGTATTATGGTCCAATAATATTACTTTTTACTTATGAATAAGATGTCTTAGGTTGAAATCTAATAAATAACAAGTTCAATATCAATTTATTTATATGCCACATAGTATAAATATATTATTGTAACTATATTAAAAAAATGTAGATAGTCTTACTATATGTTGTGTATTGTGGTTGTATTTTGGATCAACCATAAACCCATTTTGGACATGATGTGGTTGTACAAACCAATTCCATTGTGGCTAGATGTGGATGCAACCTTGCAGTAGTTGAAGGATGTGATTATGTTGATTTTTTTTCCTAGTACAAGCAATATACGGGAAAGAGAGACCAAAACTTGAACTAACGACCAACACTTCAATCGAAAAGGGGTTTTGCATGATATTCAGTACTATATAGGGAACAAACTGATACCATTTAACCAAAGCATGCACTAACTATATAGATATACATGTATACTCAAATCCAAATTATTTAGGGAAATACCTAAAAATAGGACACTTTCTTAATTTTGGGACATAAATAGGACAAACCGGTCATACACAAGCCATGTACACCATGCACAAAACCGAAATTAGTAAAATACCCACATATAAATACTAAAATCATCAGCACATTGCATCACTTTTCTGATTTGGAAGAGAGGGAGAGAAAGCTCTATGAGCTTGGGGTTTCTAGGTTGAGCTCAGATTTCAAAGAGATGGAAGTCCAAGAGAGGTGAGAAGAGTGAGTTGGGTTTTGGATTGACCTCATACCTCTGATTTCAAACAAAAAGATGCGAGAGAGAGATGAGAGGAGTGAGCTAGGTTTTGTACCATATTTTCTGTTTTGGCCGAAAAGTTCCATTTTTTTCGGACGACTGAAGCTTTGGCAGGCATAATCTGGTAGGGTGTTTAGTTCCGAGTTTCTACATCAATGATTTATGGAATAAATGGGTTGTTGTAATATGAATTAATACTTAGAAGTTAAATTAGGGTTTGTGTTTCATGTTAGGGCCTATGGGTTGTGGAATAAAATTTACTTTTTGACGTGCTACAAAACTGGGATGGAACAATTTATGGTTCAAGTGTTCAATTACATAAATTTGTGAAAATTTTTTCCGTAATGTGCATGTGGTGTGCATGATTACAACTTAATATGAGAAGCGGGAATGTTCATAATGCACCTATGTTAGGCCTCGGAATTTAGCAAGTATGATCACAACCTAGTTGGCCTCAGCAAAAAACAAAATTAAGAAAAAACTTAGAGGATGTTAAGGGTCATACGTGTTCATGTTTTTCATGTGCACAGTTAAGCGGTAGTTGATATATGTAAAAGACTTTTCAAACTGCCACTATAACCTTATATACATAACAATTATGTTTTAATTGTATCCACTATACTAATAGATTGTCGTTCAAGTTTCTTATTAATTTGAAAACCAACTTGTTGCTCAATCTCCAGTTCTGTGCATATCATGTGCATGTACTGTTCATATAATGTGCAGATGGTGTGAATATAGTGTTTATGGTAGTGACGTCATGATGTCATTTTTCTAATTGCGAAGAGAGAGCTGTGAGTTCTAGATTTTTTTGTTGACTCAGATCTATGAGCATATCATGAGCATGTCACTGGAAATAGATGATTCTTCATGGGATTTCCAGAATCTAGGTTCATGTCAAAGATTTATAAACTACAAATCTCTAAGGTATTTCTAAAATCTAGACCCCCACATATCCCCCAACGCCGTTAATTGCACGATGCATGTCCACAACAAAATCGACTTCGTGGCACGTATTGATACAAATAACAAATTTGGGATTTTCTTCCAACTTAGAAGGAGAAGGCGTTCATCGGCAGAGGGGA